ATGATTAATCGATAGCAGTTTGATGAAACTGGACCTTTTTGACCTTTTTTTGACTTTTTGACCGTAAAAAACTTAAGATTATGGGAATAATTAGTTGAGACTTTGTACTTTATTCAATTCAGAAATCGGCTGTAAATTTTTGTTCATTTTAAAGATTTCCCATGCACGATATTAGGGTGAAGGCATTGAAAAAGCTTTATACCTAGCAAGTCATCGTACTCAGTGTTCGGAACTAACTTATATATAATATTAAGTTTGATTATTCAATATTGAACTTTGCTCACTTCACATTTACATTTTTGATGGGATAACATCACTCTATGAAATTATTACTTTCAATGATTAAACGTCCCATAAGTAGTTAAACAGAGCATGTTAGTCTTTTTCATATAGCATGGATACGGTGACGTTTGGGATTTGTAGTTTTTAGTGAAGTGGTAACTCGGGTTCATCTTGTTGATGTATACATGTTTTTCTTAAATCCTGTTTCATACGTTGACCCTAAAATAGATTATCTCCATTATAAATTAATTCAATAATATCGAGATTTTGTATATGTGTATATTAGACGTGTGCGCCGCGCCGCGCCGATGACCGAAGCCGCCGATCATAACACGCCGCCGCTGGCCGGTTCGAAAGATCGGCGTAAGCGGCGTGGGATGGCGCGAACTGCGAGTAATATTTGTTCGCTCGGTTGCTAAGCAACGTATTGCATCCTCTGCGGCACGTGTTAATTCCGTTCCGTATTTCCATATTTAGTAAAATTTTAATGAATACAAAAGTTAAGTCAGTGATCAGATGCAAACAAATAAACAATCGAATATTCTTTAATTACAGCTGTCAACAATGAAATCTTGTACAATTAATGTAGCACTCGTTTACAAGATGAAGTTGGCAGAAATCATAAATTCAATACTTACCCTTATTTGTTTACTCTAGCTAACCCGCTACAAGCACACCTAGCGAACGTGTATTCTCTGTAGCTGGCCTTACTAAAACGGTTTAACGATTGCGTCTAACTGGGAATAATATCAATAAAATAATTTCTATACATGATAACTATAAGTAAATGTGTGATTTTCATTTGTTTTTGTAATGGTGATAAAAACTGGATAAAAATCGAGGTCAAAGGTCAGTCAGGATTTACAGACTGTGGCGAAACCCGGATTAACTGGCAAAAAGGTGTAGCTGTTTGTATGATGGGATTGGAAGGATATTATTCATTATGAGCTGTTACCGTCAGGCAGCATTATCGATTCTGAACTCTACTGCGAATAACTGAAGAGATTAAAGTAAGAAGTTGAGAGAAAGCAGCCAGAATTAATCAATAGAAAGGGAGTGGTGGAAAGCCACATGTCTGCTTTAGTAAGACTAGTGTGTCAAGCCCCACAAGCGATTTTTTGCTGCAAATACACGCTCGCAGATGTGTTGCCAGTTCTCAATCAACCCATACCACATGTAAGTGTCTCGAACTTATTAGATCCAATACTATTAAATATCTGGGTATCACCGTTGACGATAGATTGCAATGGTCCCATCATATTAGGATTTTATCAAAGAAAGTGAGGAAACTTTATATGTATTTAATCATTATATATTATTTTTTGTTACGAGTATGGTTTTGTTAAAGTTTAGAGGGTTCGATTTCAGTAATTATGACTATTGAACATTTATTTGTTTAAATATGCAAATTTAATTAAATATAAATTGCGTGAAATAGATTTAAGTTTAGAACAAACAACATCGTACCCATACTATGTGAAACTATATTCGAAGATCGCCTTTTGAGGAGCAAGGAACTATATAAACCTGCCAATAAGAACATGTATGTGTGCGTGTGTACGTATAGTTACCTGCACACGAGGCCGGCGCGGTGCAGCGCGTGCAGCGCGGTGAGCAGCTGCGTGTGTGTGTACGTATAGTTACCTGCACACGAGGCCGGCGCGGTGCAGCGCGTGCAGCGCGGTGAGCAGCTGCGTGTGTGTGTACGTATAGTTACCTGCACACGAGGCCGGCGCGGTGCAGCGCGTGCAGCGCGGTGAGCAGCTGCGTGTGTGTGTACGTATAGTTACCTGCACACGAGGCCGGCGCGGTGCAGCGCGTGCAGCGCGGTGAGCAGCTGCGTGTGTGTGTACGTATAGTTACCTGCACACGAGGCCGGCGCGGTGCAGCGCGTGCAGCGCGGTGAGCAGCTGCGTGTGTGTGTACGTATAGTTACCTGCACACGAGGCCGGCGCGGTGCAGCGCGTGCAGCGCGGTGAGCAGCTGCGTGTGTGTGTACGTATAGTTACCTGCACACGAGGCCGGCGCGGTGCAGCGCGTGCAGCGCGGTGAGCAGCTGCGTGTGTGTGTACGTATAGTTACCTGCACACGAGGCCGGCGCGGTGCAGCGCGTGCAGCGCGGTGAGCAGCTGCGTGTGTGTGTACGTATAGTTACCTGCACACGAGGCCGGCGCGGTGCAGCGCGTGCAGCGCGCGAGCAGCTGCGTGTGTGTGTACGTATAGTTACCTGCACACGAGGCCGGCGCGGTGCAGCGCGTGCAGCGCGGTGAGCAGCTGCGTGTGTGTGTACGTATAGTTACCTGCACACGAGGCCGGCGCGGTGCAGCGCGTGCAGCGCGCGAGCAGCTGCGTGTGTGTGTACGTATAGTTACCTGCACACGAGGCCGGCGCGGTGCAGCGCGTGCAGCGCGGCGAGCAGCTGCGTGTGTGTGTACGTATAGTTACCTGCACACGAGGCCGGCGCGGTGCAGCGCGTGCAGCGCGGTGAGCAGCTGCGTGTGTGTGTACGTATAGTTACCTGCACACGAGGCCGGCGCGGTGCAGCGCGTGCAGCGCGGTGAGCAGCTGCGTGTGTGTGTACGTATAGTTACCTGCACACGAGGCCGGCGCGGTGCAGCGCGTGCAGCGCGGTGAGCAGCTGCGTGTGTGTGTACGTATAGTTACCTGCACACGAGGCCGGCGCGGTGCAGCGCGTGCAGCGCGGTGAGCAGCTGCGTGTGTGTGTACGTATAGTTACCTGCACACGAGGCCGGCGCGGTGCAGCGCGTGCAGCGCGGTGAGCAGCTGCGTGTGTGTGTACGTATAGTTACCTGCACACGAGGCCGGCGCGGTGCAGCGCGTGCAGCGCGGTGAGCAGCTGCGTGTGTGTGTACGTATAGTTACCTGCACACGAGGCCGGCGCGGTGCAGCGCGTGCAGCGCGGTGAGCAGCTGCGTGTGTGTGTACGTATAGTTACCTGCACACGAGGCCGGCGCGGTGCAGCGCGTGCAGCGCGGTGAGCAGCTGCGTGTGTGTGTACGTATAGTTACCTGCACACGAGGCCGGCGCGGTGCAGCGCGTGCAGCGCGGTGAGCAGCTGCGTGTGTGTGTACGTATAGTTACCTGCACACGAGGCCGGCGCGGTGCAGCGCGTGCAGCGCGGTGAGCAGCTGCGTGTGTGTGTACGTATAGTTACCTGCACACGAGGCCGGCGCGGTGCAGCGCGTGCAGCGCGGTGAGCAGCTGCGTGTGTGTGTACGTATAGTTACCTGCACACGAGGCCGGCGCGGTGCAGCGCGTGCAGCGCGGTGAGCAGCTGCGTGTGTGTGTACGTATAGTTACCTGCACACGAGGCCGGCGCGGTGCAGCGCGTGCAGCGCGGTGAGCAGCTGCGTGTGTGTGTACGTATAGTTACCTGCACACGAGGCCGGCGCGGTGCAGCGCGTGCAGCGCGGTGAGCAGCTGCGTGTGTGTGTACGTATAGTTACCTGCACACGAGGCCGGCGCGGTGCAGCGCGTGCAGCGCGGTGAGCAGCTGCGTGTGTGTGTACGTATAGTTACCTGCACACGAGGCCGGCGCGGTGCAGCGCGTGCAGCGCGGTGAGCAGCTGCGTGTGTGTGTACGTATAGTTACCTGCACACGAGGCCGGCGCGGTGCAGCGCGTGCAGCGCGCGAGCAGCTGCGTGTGTGTGTACGTATAGTTACCTGCACACGAGGCCGGCGCGGTGCAGCGCGTGCAGCGCGGTGAGCAGCTGCGTGTGTGTGTACGTATAGTTACCTGCACACGAGGCCGGCGCGGTGCAGCGCGTGCAGCGCGGTGAGCAGCTGCGCGCCCCACCCGCGCACCGCCGCGGGGGGCAGCGCCGTGCGCGTCGCGCTGTGCGTCTGCCGACGATATACGATAGACGATTTACTAACATTATTAAGAGGAGAGATTTTATTGTTTGTTTGTTTGCAACGAAAGGGCTCCGAAACTACTGGACTGATTTAAAAAACTTTCACCACCTCCGGGAAGCTCCATCATATGTTTAGGGAATAGGGATGATGACTAATTTTTGTTTGTTTGTCCGTCAGGTAGAGTATTAAAAAAATATTAAACACGTATTTTTTCATTTTTTTCGTATTCATAAAATGACGGCGTTACATGGAGTTGAAATTTCGAATGACGTCACGTTATAGTACGTTTTCAACTCAACTGTGACGTAGCTAGCCCCCACTCCGCAACTTTCATGCCCGTTATCTAAGCTATTTCTTGTTAAATTGAAGTAAAAAAAATACGTATCTAATATTTTTCTATTATCTGACTGACGGACTAAACAGAATTGCATTTTTTTTACCCAGTCATCATCCCTATGAAAACGTTACTGTAGTAACCAGTGCGTACTATTCGATTTGTCATTGTAATTATATCCGTATCACGATATGATCGATTATGAAATTATTTCAGCTGATCGACCGCAGACCGGCTGGACCGATTCAGCTGATATTGTTTTTGAACTGTTTATCGTAGTCCAGGAAAGGTTTAAACGGTGAGAGGTGATACGAAATACATCGGGTTATCTTGTTGCATATATTTGTATCATTACATATTTATCGATAATTAGCTCCCAGCACTTAAGTTTGAAACCGGTTCAGAATAAACTGCTTTCGTTTAAGTAAAACATGTTTTCATTTAATGTGCCGGTAATTGTACAACCGAGCTTTGCGTTGTGACATTTCTTAGGCAAATAAGACCTAGCTAATTCAATTCATCGCCCCCGAAACTTGCATACTACAATTCATGAAAATCATTGAAGCTATTCCCGAGACATATAACGATTACCAAAAAAGCATAATGTACAACACGACATACCCTATTCAAAGTCGGCAATGGATCTCTCCTTTCAACGTCCACTTCCTTGTCTTCGTCCTTCATAACACTAACATCAGTCTTGGCTTCACTCAAAGCTTTATCAACATTCATCAACAACTTCTGCGAATTGATCACCAGTTCATTAACACTAACGTTTACATTATCCAATGTTTCAGTCTTATCGCTCTGATTGTTATTCACGGCTTCTTCGGTGTCGATATTCAGTTTCACATTATCAACATTATCATTGTCCGTATCATTACTTTTAATTTTAGGTTCAGCGAACACGTTCTCTAGATTAACTTCTCTAGCGGGCGTGTTAGGTGTTGATTTCACATAGTTTTTTATGTAGTCGAACAGTTTCTCGCCCGGTGCGTAAGCTAGTATTAGGAAGTACAGATTGTTCGTCTCCACATACGCGTGCAGGGGCACCATGTACGGGATGAGAGTGGGCAGTATCGGCTCGCGGGTTTCGGTCGTGCGACGCAAAAAGTACTCGTCGAATTCTGTTAAGTTATGAGGAACTTTCTGTACGACCTAGAAAAAAATAACTTAAAATGAATATATATTATACTGAAAAAGAAAATGTTTACCTATACTAATTTGATTGGTTGTTTGTTTGTTTGCAAAGAATAGGCTCCGAAACTACTTGACCGATTTCAAAAATTCTTTCTATCTATAGCTAGCTACATCGTATGCGGTGGACATAGGCTATATTTTATCTAGAACAAAGCAAACAAAGGTATTACAATGGGCGTGAAAGTTTGTATGAAAAATCAAAACGTTACCATAGTAACCAGTTTACTATTAAATTTGTCATTATAATTATACGAAACCTTATCCAAATTAAATATTAAATTAAATTTTAAGGCTGGATTAACAAATGGTCTATTTTTTATCATACTAAAAGGCGGAAGGCTAGTGCACTAATATAAAGCAATGAAATATATGACTACGACCGCAAATAATGATCATTAATTCTACACTTCAATATCATCCAAGTACTAGCATACAGTCCCGTAAATTACTAATGCGCTGGAACCTTGTCTAATAACACCCTCGTGACGTCATTTAATAACAGAAATAACTAAACATTAATTAATTATTGAAATATATATAAACAATCCCCAAAATGTTGTTATAATAATTAAATAACATTTAGTTTGTTAATTTAATGCATTAATTTTTGGAAAAGATGAAATTTTAGGTTAGTACCCAAGCAGCAAAATTATCCTATAGTACAGTTGTTATAGGCCTTCAGCACTTATAACATTCTCTTAACGGTCATAGTATTTACTGCCACGCTTATAGTAGGAAGCATGGAGTCACTTGGGCCTTGTAGTATATCTGATCTTATATATCAACTTATAATCACTTATAGATCAAAATTAAGGATATATTATACGCTTAGGTGCCCTATAAAAGCATGCTGTGGGTGTAAATGTACTCGAGAGTAGATAAACTAGTAAGCTATTCTTATAACTGCTAAAATAACTCATTATAGAACTATTACAAGTAAAGTACGCCAATAAGAGTGCTAAACAAACTGGAAACCATTTGCATTTATTACTTGGTTTTGTATAGGTTTATAAATCCACTATACGCAACAATTATACGTAAAATGGATAAGTTTTATAGTGGTGTAACTTAATATTGTTATAATCACAAACCTATTATAAAGGATTTGATACAAGAATACATTGGCTTATTATGGTCCTGCAAAAGTTGTTATAATCTCAACAAAACTATTTTAATTCTGATAAATCTTTTTCCGTGCCGAAGTACTATTAACTTCTGTTATCAAATGGATCTGTATAAATAGAAACGGCTAAAAAGAAGTGGTTCATACAAACGAAAAAATCCGAAAACCTATGAACAAATAATTCAGGTGTCCGGTTTTAACTTTGTCTGGCGAAGAAAGTATCGTAGAAATAGGAAATAGTTCCGTACAAAACAATTCGTGTGATAGTTTGAGACAGAACGTTTATATTAATAACTCGTATTTCAATATGGTTTATATCAATTCATCCCTTGAATTATCAAGTGAGGAATCTGTCAAAAGATGAAAGCGATATTGAAGACTATTCTTCTCGTAATTTTGAACTACATAGTGATTTTAGAAAATGGGCTGTTTTTCTAAAATCACTGGGTCTACACCCAAGAACATTATATTGAAATACGTGGTAATGCTATTGTACAAGCACAAGATGCATTCGATCAATTAATAAAATCATTGTTTCTTAATATATATCAATGCAATTTTAATGAAATCAACAACAATAGAAAGGAAAAGGTCTTTAAAATTTCAAACATAAAATATAAGCTTGCGAGTATTCTGTATGGTTCAAATATATCAAAATTTACCAGTTCAAATATACCAGAATTATATAAATATTTGAACAACAATTTTTGATAATAATTGACTGATTGGTTAATTCTATTAGTAGTTAAAAATAATTCCATTAGTAGTTGTAAATAGGTCAGAAGTTAACAAAAATAAACAAAATATTGATTTTTGCTAATGAATTTTTATTCAAGGTAAATTCAAAATTTTCCCTCTTACGTCAGATTTGCTACCTTACTTTGACACAATAATTTATTCCCAAGGCCACCTTGATGTTTTCAAAGCTCGAAATCGCTTTTAGTCAAAAAGCGATCGATGTTCAAAAACACTACCTTGCTAAATGTTTATTCTAAACAAAAATATTAAAAGAATCATGCCAGTTATAAAAATATTTGTTGAACCCTGATTCCAAAAAAATATGGCCAAGCAACGGTTCTAATGTCTGCCCTTTTTAGACAAAGTACGCCTAAAATGGTTTTTTAATGTATTTGGAAAAACCATCTGTCAAGATGGCGACTTTTCGTTGTATGGTCTTACTGAAACCGACATTATTTCGAAATCTAACTTATTAAAAACGCTTCTTCTGAGAGGCGCGTAAAAATTTTAATAGAAAACTTGTTATACTTCACCGAAAATATACATGCGCAAGCCATTACTTATTGTTAAGTAACTCTTTACTTATAATTAATATTTTGGATATTAATTAAAATTAGAAATGGATGAAAAGTTACCATTATCAATATAAATATGTGCAGCAACATTTGCCAATTCACAACACTTTGAATGGTTCTGTAAGAGATTTTTTACTGCCGTATTTGGTTCCATTAAGCGCTGATAGTTAACTTCGCAGGAGCAAATAGTTCTACGTAGACTAACTATAGGGTCGTTACTGAACAAAGTAGTGTTCACCAAGTCCATTATAGATATTGAATTAGAGCAAATACGCCTGTAAATTGGGCCCTTTTCCGTGGTTATAATTGCTTACTATTCCATTATAGTCCTGATAAAATTGTGGTTCCAGGATGATTACTAGACCACATTTTGCTGCTTGGGTATTGACATATGCAATAACGCGAAAACAAACGGCAAAAATATTTTTTAAACAAAGCAAAAAGTGACAAAATGAAATAACAATAGAAAACAAAAAACACAACAAAAGTTGTGTGTGACCTCAACGCAACCCAACTCAATAAGAGTACTCGTCAACCAGTGTTTATTTGTTAACGGTACGGTAAAATGGCGACATGCGGCGGTAGTGCCAACCTTCATCGCATAGCAGGCCTGCTGCTCCTTGTGCAACACCAGCATGATGCTGGAGCTGAGCACGGCCAGCACGCGGTACAGCGCCAGCTCCTCGTAGGGCCGCGCCAGCATCGACAGCGGCAGCGGGCACTGCGACGCGCGGCACGCGCTCTCCTCTCGCTCTGGCAACAACTGTGTGAGAGGGATGCCACATATACTATACTATGCGTTAGTACACAACGGATATTCCGTCGAGTGTGCAAGGTTGAATGTCATCACTACATATTATAAAACAAAGTTCTGTCGCCCCCGCCGCTTCTGTCTGTCTATCTGTTTATTCAATAAACCCGAAAAGTACTAGACGGATTTTATTGCGGTTTTCAACAATAGATGGAGCAATTCTTGAGGAAGGTTTTAGTGTATAGTAAGATTAGGTTTTCTACAAACTGACGATATTACAACGATATTAGTTCAATATGTCGGAAAAAATAAAACCGATCTGAAGCTTTGCTCGAAAACGGTGCCAAAAACTTTTGAGTTATAACAAAACATTGTATGTTGGAATTGTACATCTTTAATAGATCTACAAAAAAGTTCGCGGTGGTATATGTCTATATTCCAAGGATAACCCACAATAACCATTTTTTTACGTATACTAAAAACAATAAAATGATGGGTTTTTACGAACCTATTTTTAACAATACAGTATTAATCCTATTCAAATAAATAAGCATGTAATGTAGATCAAAATTGCCTTTTACACTATGTCAAAAAAATTAATTACTAATGAGTTATCGAAAAACAAAAATCGTGAATAAAAATGAATCGCCGAAACGTATGTACGCGCATAACTTCCGAATTCCAGTTCCGACTGCACCAAATTGGATGATTCTATTTATATGTGTTCCACGATTCATATGTGTTCAACGGTTATAAGGCGGTATGAAGTTCGCCGGGTAAGCTAGTTTCGCGATTGATATATTAAAACGACGCGTCTTCCGTCAGATATGCACCGACCATGATTCATTTTGAATTTAAGGCTCGGTGAATCCAACTGTACTAGCTGTTGGTCTTCTTGAATTAATAATAATGACTCTTGAGGATGTTCCGTGGAGAAGCTACACACGTGTACAGTGGTGGCTGCGAGACTTGTTGTCGATTGTATATACAAATACATTTTTTTTGCAAGATTGATTGTCTAAACGTTTTTCTCTACCGTAGCACGGCGTGACGCCACTTCGTAGCTTGAATATGTAGGGAGCATTTTCGGCCGACTAGCAGTATTTCCACAAACAAAGTATCTCCGAAATTATTAATCGCAGACATGCTGTTACTTCTACATTATATCACAGATGTTAATGGATTATTCACTTATAAAATAAAAGTAATCAACTATCTTATTAAATTGAAGTACAATAGTGAGAACTACAAACAGTTGATATGGCGCTATGCGAAAGCGATATGTCGATTGGTTGAAGAGCCCTGCTTTCAGGTATAAGGTACATTTCCCCTGCATCGACAAAAAAGGACCGGATGATAATTAGGTCTTTGTATCGAACCGACGGTTATATTAAACCCGGAACATCAGAGATGGCGTTACATACAACGAAACCGACGTGCAAACTACTCGTCCACTAAAATCAAACATATAAACTTACACTTCTTTCAGTATCACTCAAGTGATCCTTATAAATAGCCTCAGCATATGAAAGATATTTGTTGGTTTTCTCTTTGATTAACGCGCGCCTCTGTGGATCTGAGTCATCTGGAAAAATTCAATAATTATTACATATTTAGTATATGCCATATTGTATAAGGATTTCTCGTAATATTATTTCTATTCTCAACTAGAAAGAAATGGAATTATTACTTAAGATTTAATAGTATTTTTTCATCTTTAATTTCAGAATAATAAGTGGTAATCTGGTGAATAGCGAGATCTCGATTAAAATCGTCTTGTTTCGACTCTCTGGGAAAGAGGAAATTTAAGCGGTTAAAGCGGCCTTTATACAATAACTTACAGAGAATATTAGGAGTTTCCTTAAATTCCAAAAAATAATCGCACAAATATAAAAAATCCATGACTTGATTCGCACAAATATAAAAAATCCATGAGGTAATTCACTTCACGACTATGAATGAGTAATTTCACTTAGTCTGAGATCCATATTTCAGTAGAACGTGGTTTGCTATAAAGCGATTAAGAACAATTGGCATTTTTATCTAATTAGGCGACTGGAGTCTTAAAACAAAAACGATAATGTATAAAAGAGTCACTTTCAAAACAAAACATCAGGATTGTATTGTGCGGTTGTTGACAGTCTTTCTTCTATTAAATATATTCATATTACTAATGATAATAGTGTAAAATATGTGTAACAATGTACTAACAGGGGAGAAGCATCGAGCAGTAAATCACTTCAATGGTATTAATAAAATTTTATTATAGCAAGAATAACACACAACGAACGATTATCTTAATTAGTAAGAGTTGTTATTTGGCTTTTTAAATAATATTTTGAAACTTTCAAGTGTGTTTATTAGTGAACTATTTAATTTTAATTGAATGTGTAGACTATATTTATTTAAACTCCAGAGGATGTAGGAGCTATGAACAATGCATTTCGATAAAATAAATATTCTCTCTGCACATCTTTTTCATAAATGTAAAATGCATATAAAAAAATACACTACTAAATATTTTTTACAAGTAATACCACTTCCACTCTTGTGGACAGACCCCAGCTTTACTTTATATTTATCAGATAGGTAATCAGAATATCGATAAATATGCTATCAATTCATAGCATTACTCGTACAGTGTGTCACAACAAAAATAGAACCGCGCTTTATAATTTATGGTAAAATTAAGAATGCTTTCGGTTTCATTCAACGGTTATAAGTCACATTAGAAGTATGCCATCAACATTTCTTGACAATGTCATCAGAATAAATTAAATTGAGATTTGATTTGTCTCCTATAGAATATGTGCGTGCAAATGTGTTCTTATTGTCAATGCATAAAACTTCAATTTATAAAAAAAAATTATATATTATATTAAACCACCAAAAATATCAAAATACAAAGTCGCCCAAAAAAAAAAATTACTCACTCTGTACTCCAATAAGCATCTTCTCTATGCCAGATTTGTAACAGTCAAATGCCTTTTGATAATCACCCATATTTTCACATCTCGCTGCTAAATTCAACATATAACCCGCCTCGAACACATAACTGTCTTCCGTCCTCGTCCTACTCTCCACGTTGGTCAGAGACAACAAACTTTGCTTGCTGTAGAGAGAGATGCGTGAACTACTTCTCCTCTCCATGTCGAATACAGAACTTGTAGAGCCATACATGTTAGAAGTTAGAGAAGTACTATCAGAATTGGTGTTACCACATTTCGACATAGTGTGATAGTCATCGAATTTCGATGTCGACGGCGCGTCGAAATTTATCAAGTCTGGCAACGCTGATTTGCTTTTCACGCTCGGCTTGTGTTTGTCTATGGTCACCTTGCTTAGTTCATCGTAAAGGTCGCTGTTTATGCTGTCTAATGAGCTTAGGGATTCGAAACTATTGGCGTTGGATAGTTTGTCATCTTTCGGTGATTCGCGTATTTCAACGTCTGCCGCTTCGTAAATAGGGATCTGGGATATGAAGTCTGTTTCGTCAATGTTCAGTTGTTGATTGTCTGCAGTTTGTGATCGCGCTAAAGACAAAAATGATTAGGCATTTGACATTATGTATTCATAAAATCATGTCTGTTATCATTTGATTTATCGTAGTACAGTTGACAGCATGTGTGGTTACTTATATCAAAAATAAAATAAAAAAGAAGTAAAAAAACCTAACTATTGACAAACAATTAACTGAAAAAGCTAGAACAAGAATAAAAATATATACAAGAAAATGAGATTGAATAATAAGTCAAATCATTATTTCTTTGTGCATGCCTCCGACTGCATGTTATGTATGATGTTGCATACACTTTTAATCTCGTTCTAGCCTTTTTATTTAGTTTTTTTTTACGCAGGCGGGTTTATTGTTTGTCTTTTTAGTTAGACAAATTACCAGGTTGGTTCAGAAAGTGAAAGAACGTAGTCCATTTTATAAACTATATCATTGTATTATTTTTATTAGTGTTAAAGTAATGATAATCATTATATAACGTTTTGGAATCCTTATATTGAGCCCTTTAATTTGATGCCCATATTTTAGTAGTGAAAATATATTTTAATATAATGGCGTCGTGCAGTCGCTATATCCATTTTTAAATATACTTTGGCTACTAAGACAAATCTAAAGATACCTCAATTATCTAAATCCTTTCAGCGGTTCTGAAGATATGAGGTAATAAAGTCACAAAATTACTCCTAAAATTCATTATTTTTTCGATTTGTTCTCGTAATCAAACTATTTTGATATAAGGAAAAATAAATAAAATTGATAAATATGTGGTTCACTTTAGGCTAAATGCAACTTGTACAATAAAAATCGTAACGGTTTGCTAGTTATTTTAAACTTATTTTAGAAGCGCAATTCGGTATCCTTAGGGCATCTTATCATAGGGCGCAATGCGATAGATAATGACAATCTGTTGACTCTACGTCCAACCTTAAACGCCATGAAAGCATTCAAGATGTTTTACCTGTGTGTATGGGGCTCCTAGAATCGTCATCGTCAGTTTGGTACTCCAGAGGCGGTGTCTCCTCTATAGGTAGATGAAGTGACGACCTTATAGCGTTTATGATTCCGCCGGCCTCGCTCTCTGGCTGTGGGTAACCAGTCTGTAAATAAACCAAATATATTCATATTAAACTACATATATCTAGCAACTTCTAGACGTGGAAGTTGTTAGATATCGTTAGTTTCACAGCAATGGACTTCCGCAAGACAACGCCTGAATCTATTAAAAACACATAAATTGAGCTGTATAAACATAAGTAGTGGATTACTAGTGACCTTACTGGGATTTAATCAAAACACAGCAGTATAGTTATCACTAAATGTCAAATCAATAATTTTTAAATAACATGTTATGCTTTTGTAGAATGATATTGTGTTTTTTCTCGATAAATGCATGTAACATTCGTGAATTTTGTTTATTGATTTCTCATATCAAGTCGAAACGAGCGATAGCTACTGTTTGCGTACATTGTCAGAGTCATGAAAGATAATTACTTTCGAATCCTTAAGTAAAAATTACTTTATCGCTTTTGTCGTTTAAAAAGTCCGTCAGTATAAAGTGCGGCTAAAATAGTAGAATAGGGGCAAAGGTATATTTTAGTTTTTTTAAAACTACTACCTCGTATACAATGGATCGTTTAAGCCCCTTTTATATTTATTAGCATCGCAGAAAAATAATTTATCTTTTCATAGAATAACATCATATACTTTTTAGCTACATTTTTCTTTTCTTTTTCAGATATATTCAATTTGTTAACTTATTTGAGGCGGGCATACGTAGGTACTGAAAGATTTTCTTTTCTGCTTCGCAATACAATAAATAAATTCGCAATACTATAACATTATTTTTTTCATTAATTAAAGTAACTGATTAGTAAAACTTTATGAGGCACATCATAACAACCCTAGACTGCCAACGTATTGTAGGTATGCACACCTATAGTGACTTCTAGCTAAATTTTCTGAACTCTGTGTGGAATTTGAAACAGATAAGAGGATAACATTATCTCTAGATAATCACGATAAAGAAAAATCAAAAAATTAAATCAAAACTGCGATCTTTACAAAGAAAAGTACTTTTTTTCGTAGCAATAAAATATTATTGAAAAATAAGTCTGTATTGATAAATAATACTTTTACTGTTTGCAATACATATTATAATAACCACTTTTGGTAAAAAAACGTACTGCGATTTTAAGATGTTAATTTAAGTTCAATTTTGTGTGCTATCAAATTACATTACATACTATGATAATTTTTAAATAATTCGCAAATAAAATGACGAATTAATAAACAATCAAAGACTGCTTTTAAATGTAACTGATCAGGATCCTAAGCCGATCCTAAATTTTCTAAATAAATTACAATAATAAAAGAACCGACCTGCAGAAAGTTGACGAAATCGGTGCTAGTGAACAGTAGTCTGTGCTCCGCAACACACTCCAGCAGACTCTTGATGCATTTAGCTCGCTCCTCCACCACCTGTAATAACAATAAGTATTAAATTAGAGATGCGACCGACGCGAATAACGTTCACCGTACACGTACCAAATATTACTAACTTTCAACTGTTTTGCACAAGAAAAAAGTTCACATATAATTAGAAATGTGAAAACCACATCATATTTATACTTTTTTGTTATTATGTTACTCCGAAAAACAGGAAAATTATGAAAATTTTGCAGATTACAAACTTCACGATAAGTTACGGCCTTCGTGGTGAGTTGCTAAGCACGACATGTTAATGGCGGGCGTTGTGGGTTAGGGCTTTTTCTCTCTGTGTAACTCTGCATGTGGAAGTCTATTATAAATATTAATCAACATAACAGATATCGCTCTGATTCCAAGATGAGTAGCCAAAGCCCCCGTATTATGGGGTATCTGAGACAACGACGGCATCACAACACCCAGACCCGAGACGATACAGAAAAGTTAATTTTCTACATTGACCCGTCCGGGACTCGAACCCGGAACCTTAGAGATGGAGACCTAGAAACCGGCATGCGACCCACTCGGCTACGGAGCTCTTGTTAATTCTATATAATCGTATTAATTGCAAAGTATTCCAAAATACTTTGTTTTACCTTTTAGAGTTTCGTATTCGGCGAACATTAATCGCGTTCATTCACGTGAAGATGTATCCCTACATTGAAATAATTAAATTTAATTAGCGAAAGTCACGCTCGCTACGCCCGTTAAACGCATAATTCGGTTTTTTCTACATTCATATGTCTTTAAACGCTGTCATAGGTAGATTAAATTCATAAAGCAAAATAAAACGCATAAAGCAAGAAGCAGCTAGATACTTAATTTACATAACACTTTCACATCAATTTTAACTTTTCATGAGTTGTCATTGCCCTGTCTAATAATAAAGTAATAAAGCAGCCTTATGTACACTTAAGAACTCTTTTACTTTAATTTTGCAATTGTCCTATGAATAATGTGTTGTGTTATGAATTAAGAATTCCCTTAAATTTAAGATTAGTGGTCTGTTGGCACAATAAACCGAAACTACAACAATATTCCTTGGACAGCCAACAACACGTCAGACTATACAATACTGACAAATTTCCCCACTCAAACATAAACCTATATTGAAGCATTATTGAAGGTAGAGGTAAAAATTAATTACAAAAATTTTACATATTCCATATATTAATCCAGACTTCTTCAACTAAAAAATAAAATTATCTAATTGTAATTTGAATTTTATTTAATTCTTTAAATATAAATATTCACTTTTAATAAAAATTTTACTTGTAAAAAAATATATAATTATAATCGTGTATTCTATAACTAATTTAGATATGTTATCTTAGTTATTTACAGAATTGGCAGTTTTACAGCAGGAAAACTTAGTCTTTTATTATAGAGAATTGCTATCAATATCACCCCCATAACTAGTGTATTTAAAACTACATAATATGTCACAGTTCAATGAAAGAAAAAATATTATTGAATTACTACTTACTTTTCGTCCAGATAATTTCGTCAATGTTTTTAAAAATTTATTTTTTAAATTTTCTAGTTAATAGATTAGTTTTTATACACATAATGCTTTGATTTGCAATACAAGTGTTTGTTCATAACCACAATAAAATGTAAATATAACACAACAATCAGTGTTTTATAGAGGTATATATAAAACAAAATATAGGTATAACATATAGTATATAAGGTCTTTTTATCCCAAATTAAATAAACATATAATTTACACCAGTGTTTCTGTATTTACAAAAAAAAAAAGTTACATCTATTTTGTTTTTCAAACCTCCTTTTGAAACCGCTTGAAGTAACTGTGCCTGGTAAGAGGTGGAAACGTGCCCCGGAGATGTAGACCAGCATGCAGCGCTTTCATACTTTTATGCAACCTCTGTACGTCACTGTATCGCTTCCAAACTGACACTACTGTCACTGCTTCTGGAGATTCTATGGGGAATAACTGTAACACAACACATTATTTTATATTATTTCATGTTCATTATACATAACTTAAAGGGATATCTTAGTTTTGAAGTATTTTTATTATAATAACACTGTAAGAAACATTTTCGTGGTGCTCATCAAAACAACTTTTATGATAAGAGGGGTTGTTATTTAAAATAGGACACATCAATGTCAGACATGCAGTACCTACAGTCAAGATCTTTACAAAATATTCTAATATCCTTTTGAGTGATAGTGGTGCCATGTGCAAAAGTATTTAAACATGGGAATAAAAGTGTAAACTTATATTTATTACTTTCTCTATTTAAATCTAAAGTGCCTCAAAAACCCATAACACTATTCTGTCTGCCTTTCAGATCTACTATTCTTGGTGCCAACGCTGCTGTCCCTTGTCTATGCCGAATCCTCAACCCCTATTGTAATCAAATAGTTATTTTTTTAGACTCGCCTAGTATTATGAGAAATATTATAATTAAACAGTGAAAGACACACTACATTAAAACAATGCATTGATGTAATTCATTGTATTAATGTAGCATGTAATGTAATGTGTTTGCTTGTAAATACTTTATATACTTTAACTCTGACTTACTTAATACTAATTTTAATCTGTAAACCAAAAATAGTGCATTAAATTGTAGGTAGACCTAACAAATAAATAAAAAATTGCAATTTCCCAGTTGGACAAACATTGTTGTCACCATCATAAATCGTCTATTTTTATTTTGTATCAGTAATGTTGTTTTAAACTAATGATAATTTTAATGTATGTTTGTGCAACTGGGCATTAGTCAACAATGACAAAAGTCAAATTTATTTCAACAAAATTTAACAAAACTTTTTCTACTGTTTAAAATTAATTTTACTATTTATTATGTAACCCAACAGTTATTTCTCACTGTTGCCTTACATATATATACTGAATTTAACCTTAATGTATCCAGTACCTCCTGAATAAATCAGCTGTGTCATAACTATAAGGGCTATGTTTTTTAGGAAAGACCACTAAGGAAATTATAAAAAAATTGAGTATACTCTAATGATATACCTAGTACAGATAAAACACATTCCCTAAATTTTTGATTAATGTTATCCTGTTGCACCATGTTGCACAAATAAGAGTGGCACATAATGCTGTGCATTATGATTGTTTTTGATACTAACTCTAAATGTAAAACAATAGTTTTAAAATCAAATAACCATATGTTTCAATAGCAATTTTTTAATTGTTATTACTATTATGACAGAATTAAATAATTGGCAGGAAAGAATTTATACAAAATATTGTTGTGTATGATGCAAAATCACCTATGGATCTTATAAAATTTATGAAAGTGAAAACAAATAAGAAATTATTGCACAATAACAAATCAACACTGTGTTATAATAAAACAAATAAACAATTAGTAGATATATTCCTATTTTGAATACATAGAGAGGATTGTCATATTGTTGAATAAGCAGTACTTACGACAGAAGTGATCTTGTAAATAGTGAAGCCATTATTGTGTTTTGATGTTTCGTCTACAGTAAACCGGCGAACCCACTTGTCTTTCCTATCCGACATCTTAGGTATTTAATTAATAACTTTATAATTTAAAAATACGGTAATTACTACATAGCTTAAAATAAAACTACAATTGTTCACGGACCTATTATTTAATCAATATAAAATTCAATTCAAATAAATTTATTTCGAAAAACTCTCGTTGACTTTATTGATGTCCACGAGTGACACTGACAGACACTAGCTAGGGTTGGATATTATTATCGATTGTTTTCGTTAAAATATAACTAACAGTTCGTAAAAAAAAAAACTATAAATACCGTTTTCTCTACTTCATTCAATTTTTGTTATCTACAAAGCTTCCATTATGTAAAATCATAATATAGTTGAGATTTATAACCAAAGATACCATGATGCTAATATGAAAAAAACCAATATAATCATTCGTCCATGCCAACATGAAAAGACAGTCTACGAACTAGATATTTCACCAGCATTAGTTTATTGTGTTTTATTTAGTGACAAAAAAACTTGAAAACTAGACTGTCTCGAAATGTATATTTGAATGTTGAAACACTACGCCTGTGCCGTGACTAACGAAATCTGGGTGACCAGTCTGAATACCGTTTCGTTATCCTACTAATATTATATGTAAATGCAAAAGTTTGTGAGGATCGATGTATGTATATTTGTTACTCTTTCACGAAAAAACTACTATCCGGGTTTTGATGAAACTTGGTATACGGATAATTAGAAGCCTGGATTAACATATAGGCTAATACTTATCCCACTAAACAGTTGCCTAGGGATCACGCGGACAAAGCTGCTGGCTAAAAGCTAGTGTTTAATATAATATCATTGGGTACGTGCTTGTGCACGAGGAAGTATTTAAAAAAAATATTAGGGCCCGAAATCAAACTAGATGTCGTTACGGTACGTTCTTGCATGTACGGTATGTAAATTTCGAACTTTTCAAATTTCAGTTTTTTTAATATGTTAGTTAAAAGGAACGGAAATGACTGTGTTTGGTCCATTCGTTCCTGCAAAAATCAACTTTTGCTAGAGTCGCCATCTAGTGGAAGTGCTTTTTTAGTGCTTTCGTTTTTTTAAATACTTCCTCGTTCAATATAGACCAATATATTTAAATATTGGTTAAGTAGTCTATGTTTAAATCTATTGTCTATGATTATATCTTTTGGCCACCTTACATAGAAATTAAAATATATATTAAAAGCTTATGTGAATTGTTTTGCAAAGATTACCGATTAGGAATTTTAATCGCATTTAAGTTTCAATAAACAATTCATAACTTATAATAGCGTGTTTTCTCTGTTAAAAACCTATTGTCTATTAAAGACCTATTGTCAGATGCGTTATAATGTTGATATAAAAACCATGTTTTATCAAATTTCCAATTAATTTAACTACCATAATCTTTTAATAGTGATGATATAGACAATGCTGGGAGGGCGCTGTTAGCCGAAATACAGTAATAAACTAGCTCGGCTACAGACGCTAATCTATTTATAAATTTCGTTAGCCGTTGAATCATAATGTTTAATTTTAAGTATTAATTTTTAATTTACTTTCTTGTATTTTGGTTGTGTGTAAATAAATATTATTATTATTATAAAAACCTTAAATAAAAATAGTATGTATTAGACTTTGTAGTCCAAAAGTTTATTTGTGTAATTTTAAAACAAATTTCTCGTGTAGTTCTAAATTAATATGTATTAATTAATTTCAAAAACTTAACTTAGGTATGTCGATTATTCCATAACATTAATTTTAATTAACATACCAAAACTATTATTTTTGTCACTAAGACGTTGCATTATTTAATATGATAATTTAAGCAAACTCGTTTATTAAAAGAATAAGAAATATTTTTATCGATTATGTGTAGAACGTCACATCTCTAATTAAAATTTTTTTTTTTTTTTTTTTTTTCTTTATTGAAGCTTTGGCTACACTGACCATCAGCTTAAACATTAAATGTGAAAAGAAATCTTAACAGAATTATACTACAAACTAACACAATGAACTTAAATAATATAATAAAACTTACAGTAAAACTAAACGAAAAACACACATTAATAATAAAAAATACAAACAACTTTTTTTTTTTTTTTTTTACAAGTACACTAAATTTAAAGTTATAAGGGACCAAAAGTATTGACATAAAAATTATAAATAATACAATAAATCTCTTGTATCTTCAATAACTCTTTTACATTTAGAGGAAAATTTTTGGAAGGCATTGTATCAGAAAATAAACTAATAAACAGAAGGCGTTGTATATTGAAATATGGACAATTAAAAAATAAATGATCAAGATCGCAATTTGTGAAGTTACAATATTTACAAATAGCGTTGTTACTTAATCTAAGACGGTGAAGATGAGATGGAAATTTACAGTGACCTATTCTTAATCTACAGAAGCTAGTTATAAATTGCCTACCGAAGTATTTTGATTTTTCAAACCAAGCTGTAGTGTTGGGTACAGGTACAATCTCGGCATGCCATTTACCTTTAGTTTCGCGAAAATTATCTAATGATAAACACCATCTTTTGATCATGTTGTCTTTCAAATAAGTGATTAAATCACATAAAGGAATTTTATAGTCGTTTATTGTAATAATGTTTGGAGCAGAACGTGCAAGTTTATCTACAAACTCGTTACCAAAAATACCAGAGTGTCCTGGAACCCAGCAGAACTCGATTACAATATTAATGTTTTGTAATAATACTACTAAGTGTCTTAATTCATAAAGAAGGTAATTTTTGTTAGAATTAATACTTTTTTGTTCTAGAGCTTGAAGAGCACTCATTGAGTCACAAAGAATTAAAAATTTTGATGAATTTAGAAAATTTAAATTACATGAAATATATTTTAAGGCATAGATCATACCTAGAACTTCGGCAGAAAATATTGAAAAATGTGTATCACAAGAATAGACTTTACCAACTTTGTTTATAGAATCATAAAAAGCAAAACTAGTGCGAGATTTACTTTTCGACCCATCGGTGTAAATTTTAATATAGTCGCTTTTTTCATCTAAAAACATATAAAAATCGAGTCTAGAGTCGAAACGAGACAAAGTTACAGGAATGTTTCGTAGCAAAGACTGAAAATTATATAAAAAACAAGGGCTTAACTTCGTCCAATGCACAATGTCCTGAAACTCGAAATTTAAATATGTAATAGAATCAGTCAAAGTGGGGGCAATTCTGAGTGGAATGTTATTATAATTAGGAATATTACAGTTTTGTAAGTAGCGGATTACAATAACATTTTCGCGACTAACTAAATTTAAGCAGAACTTTTCCGTAATGTAACTACGTCGTACCATTAAAGGAGGTATCCCAGACTCGACTTCAAGCGAATTAATGGGGGACGACATCATAGCGCCGGTAATAACACGTAAAGATTTATTCTGTAAAACATCGATTTTACGCAGCAAATGATTTGATGCATGTGCATAAAAAATACAACCGTAATCGAATTGACTACGAATCATAGATATATACAAGTTTTTTAAAATCTTTGGATCAGACCCCCAACTTACCCCTACCAAAGACCTTAAGATATTTAAACGAAGTTCAGCCTTCTTACAAATGTAAGTTATGTGTGACTCCCAAGACAGATCAGAATCAAGCATGATACCCAGATATTTAACAGTGTTTCGATAAGGAATCACTGAATTATTATAAAAAATGCGAGGAGATATTGTGCGACTGATTCGTTCAAAGACCATAACAGAACTCTTATCTACATTTACTTCAAGCTGAAGGTAATTGCTAAGCATATTACTTAGATTACTAAGACAACTGTTCATAGAGTGCACTCCTTGAGAAATATCATCGTACTCTAAATAAATAACTAAGTCATCAGCGTAAAAGGAATAATTAACAGAATCAGGTATAGCTTTCATGAAATTAATCATGCAAAGAATAAAAATTAAAGGGGACAATACAGAACCCTGTGGAGTACCTTTGAAAGAATTCTTCGATCCAAAAATACTATTGTTAACTTTTAAAGATAAAGAACGGTTGTTTAAAAATTTAAAGATCCAGGATAGAATTGAACCGGGAATTCCTAATGAGTATAAACTTTCGATTAAGTATACATGATTGATATTATCAAAAGCTCCTTTTATGTCTAAGAATACAGCTAAAGTAGATTTATTTTTCCTGAAACTATTTTGGATATCGCCAATAAGGCAACTTAAATTATACATTGTATTCTTTCCTTTACGAAAACCAAATTGATAATCTGGAATTTGTGAATTATGTTCAACAAACCATTCTAGACGATTTTTGAGCATAGTTTCAAATAACTTTGCGAAACAAGAAGTTAGAGATATCGGTCTATAGGAATCTAAATTATTGGAGTTCATGTTAGGCTTTAAAATTGGGACTATCAGTTGAAATTTCCAACTAGGTGGAATAACGTTAGACAACCATAATTGATTATAAATATTTAAAACGATTATTTTTACAGCCTTAGGTAAATGTTTTATAACAGAATATGGGATGTTATCAGCACCAGGTGACGAATTCTTTTTGTTATCTAACGCGGAATCAAATTCATGTAATTCGAATGGATCTAGCATCCATTTTGCTGTCTCGGAACCTTCAGAAGAAAAACATGGGCTAATGTAGTTAGAAGAAACAGAGGACGTTGTTGATGTAATTTTATTTAAGAAAGCTGTTGCATTAGAAGGATTTTTGAAAAATTGAGATTTAGAAGTGTTAGAGCCTAATTTGGCAAATTTAAATCTTTTGATATGGTCCCATATAAATTTAACTGGTGTCAACCTATTAAATGAACTACATAGATTAGTCCAGCCTAAACGTTTTTGTTCTAATATAGTTCTTCTCTTTTTGGCATCAAATCGTTTGAATAGTAAATAGTTTTCGAGACTAGGATATTTTTTATAAGAAGAAAAAGCTAGTTTTGCTTCATTGACAGCTCGAGTACAAAAATCATTCCACCAAATATTGAATTTGCGTTTTTTATTATGGCAAGTCGGATGTGACTTCTTAGAAAAAGTTAACAGTATTTTACGGAGAGTGTCGATAAACAAATTATAATTTTGTAAAGAGTCAGAATTTAAGGACAATGAAGAAAATTCTTTATCACAAGCTTGTGAAAATAAGGTCCAATCTATTTTCTGATAGTTGATATTTGGCAAAAGAGAAGTCGAATCAGAAATGTTATGGGAGTTTGAAGACAACTTATGAGTATCGTTACTATAGTATTGTGAATAATCATTATAATAAACATTGACAAAAATAGGAAAATGATTACTGCTCAGTAGATCGTCATGGACAGAAAATGAACAACTGGAACTAATAGATGGAGATGCAAAGGCCAGATCCAAAACATTGCCATTTTGACCATATGGTGCAAATGTTGTAACAGAAAAATCATTTAGGCAAACGAGATTATGAGCATCAATAAAGGAACTGATAATATTACCTCGACTGTCATTGTACCTGGAGCCCCAAGCTGCATGATGTGCATTAAAATCACCAAGAATCAAATAATTATGGCTAGAAATAAAAGAAAAAGAATTATTAAGCATTCTGGCATTAAATTTACCATTAGGAGGAGGAGGAATATACAAACAAAGGATATCGATGGAAAATTGATCAATTGTTAATGAAATTAATAAATTTTGAAAATGATAATTACTTGGAGTATCAGTAACGTTATATAAAAACTTCTCTTTAATAGCGACTGCAATACCCCCATGAGGATGATCAGAGTCCCTTCGCACTATTTTATAACCAGGAATCTTTAGTGTTTTGGACGAATCAAGCCATGTTTCATTTATTAGAATTATATCAATTTCATAACTGTGAGAATGAATAAATTGTTTTAATTGGTCCAATTTACTAAGAATGCTACGGCAGTTCCAATGAATGATATTGAGTTGCTTAATTCCAATGTCACTATCCATAAAGTTATGCTGTGAAGTTGGAAATAAGCAGTTCTTTTATTAGTTTAGATGAAATAGCATTACCAGACTTATTTAAATCTATCAGAGTTTTTGTTATAACACTTATGACCTCATCTGAATTTATAATGTCTGTATATAATACACGTTTCTGAGGTGCATTTAAAAGTTTCAAATTACTGAAAATTTTTGGCTTCATGCTTGTAGAAGAAGATTGCACACTTGAAGGTACAATTGAAGCTGGAGAACTAATTTTGGCTGTTACAGTAGCATATGTCTGTTTACCGCTAATTCTGTCCTTTAATTCTTGATTTTTGGCAGCTTTGATAGGACATGAATTGCTTACGGCTATATGAGCTCCACTACAATTTACACATCTTATGTTATCTTTGTTATTGCATTCTTTGAAAAAGTGATTTCCGGTACAGATGGAGCAAACTTGAGAACTTTTGCATGATCCACGCCCATGGCCAAATTTATAACAGACAAAACATTGTCTAATGGGCTTAATGTATTCTTTCACTTCAAACCAAATGAAATCAAAAATTACATGATCGGGATGTGTTGTGCCAAGGAAAGTAATAAGTACTGTTGGAGTTGGAATCAATGAACCATCAGTATTTTTTCTTAAGAAACGCTTCACACCAATTATTTCATTGTTAGACTTTAAATTATTCAATAAATCTTCTTCTGTAATTTCAATTGGAACTTTTATGATACCCAAACTTTCAATGTGATCAAATGGGATTTTAGCTTGCCAGCTGTGCTTTGACAAGAAAGACTTTCCCAGTAAAAAGGTATTAGCGTCATTTTTATTGCTAAAAAACACCTTAATTATGTAGTTTCCAACAGGTTTAACATATAAAATTCCAGCACATGTCTTTAGTATTGAATTGGTTTTTATTAGATCTAATTTAGTATTGGGTGATATTGAGGATAATAAAATGGGATACTCATTTTTTCTGTCTTCGCTGTAAATATGGTTATAGTCCTTAAATAACCCTCTTCTGGTAGAAATAAAATTTGCAGAGAGTTTGTGAGGGGGACAGTTTTCAATATTGTCAGATTTGCGTTTTCCAACTTTGGAATTGGCGGGATTCCTCCCGCCGCTTTCTTCATTCATTGAAAAAATATATTAATTGAAAGATTAATAACAGAAAAGGGCCGCTTGGCACAGAGTTTAATAATAATTTAAAAATTTCCTGAAATAATTTCAAATGTTCGCGCCCACTTTCCCGCCAATCCGCAAACTCAGTGCTCTAATTAAAACCACTGACATTGACATTAAGCTAACAACTTTGTTGTTTATTCCTATTGTTTAACTAAAAACAAAGGGATATACCGAGCAGCCTATTTAAATGTATACTTTTAATTATACAATAATAACATTACAATAATATACTACTTTTAAGTTTTTGGAGATGTCGGAATATAAATAAATTCACATTACAGGTGTGACAAATTCATTGTCTGACTCTAAAGACTAAACTAATGGAACATTTCTCATATTTTAAGGACTATTCATCATCTATTGCACTGAAAAAGCATGCTTTCTTTTAGAAAGTAATACAATTTCCATTAACGAAAACTATAGTCTAAATACTTCGATCAACAATACAAAATGGTATAATCAGAGACTCCAAACTTTATAGATTTGTGGAAATCAGACCATACGGCAGTCTATTTTTTGATTCCTCATAAACCGTTAACGGTCGGATTATTGAAATCGTAAACTCAGTGAACAAGAAGTTCATAGGAAAGAAACAACGACTACTCCATAGACAACGACAATCCCAGCAGTAAGTAACTACTTACCACTTTGTAAAGGATATGGGATCCAGTCCCTCTCTGCCCACAGAAAAATAATACTCTCTCTGCCCTCCTTAATTTTTAAATAAGAACGTAAAAAAACTAAAAGAAAACATCTATAGATTTCCATGAACCTTTTTAAATCCGATTTTAGAATTTAAAGTTAAGCACGTCTTAAACCGTACTTAAGCCATTTTAAATGTCATTAAACAGGATTTCGTATTTGATTTGATTTTTTTATGATCAGTTGATAGCAATTTGATAAAGCTTAGACCTTTATCATTTTAAATGTAAAAAACTTAAGTTATTGAGAATAATCAGTTTTGATTTTGTTCTTTTCTCAATTCAGAAACCGGCCGGCAGTCAGTAGTTAAATAGTTTACGTTGACAAAAATGTATTTTTGCTGACGCATAATAATTTGGTATTTTGGCTTGGTGTAGGTTACCGGTATGGGAGACTGGGAGCACTTGATGCCATTTTATTTGTTAATAATGATTTAATTATCTATACTAATAAGTATGCTAAATAATGCCAACGGTGTACCTACAATCTAAAAGCAAAACACTGTAAGAGCTATCACAGTGTTTAACCGTCGTAACACGACTTTAATGAAAATTATTACAATGGTTAAGAAAATAAAAATAAGTATATTAACATTATTTTTGAAATAAGCTACTGACTTACATTGTTTACGACTAAAGAGTAAAAATCATAAAACACATAATTATCTTTGAGTCGTATGCAGTGGCGTAGCTAGGTAACCTAGGGCCCTGGGGCAAATAAAAAAATGAGGCCCACTGCTATCAAAACTGGTAAGGTTTTTTGAAGTAAAATCAATTAATATACAAATACTTTAAAAATGCTAAGCAACTTTATCATCAGCTCTTTTTTAATAAAACTATTAAACACTAACAACATAAATTACAATTATTTTTATACTTGGTGTAGGTATTGGGCAATAAACTCCAGTTAATCAGGCATTAGACATATTTAATGCCAATCTCTTTAAATTCAAAAAATGTGTTAGGGAAGTTGTGGTAGACCTAAACGTCGCATCTTTTTAATCATCCAGATTGATTTATACTCATTATTTCTGTTTTCTTTCATATTAATAAAAAATAATAATAATAGTTTCTTTTTTTTTCTTTATCATATCTCATTGTGTAAACACTTTTAGGATATTAATTTAGTACTACACAGTTGTTACTTATTTTTCATATATATTTTGATTAATGTTTGTTGTGTTACCTAATAAATAAAACAAAATAGAAAAGATTCATGGGTTTATTATATATATATTTATTCATAGATACGTTGCACCAGCTTACTGGTATTTAACCTATCGCCATGCAAGCTATTTACAAAAATTATGAATAGAAATATTTTGACCAGAAGTACTTGCTGACTAAAAAAATTTTGACTTTTTTGGGCAATTTTTGTTTACTTTCTTCTCTGTCTTGGCGTTTGAGTTTAAATGCACCACTCGGTTTCTTTTTTTTTTGTCCATTATATTAGTTTTCTAATTTCTTTATGCAATATTTATGTAAGATTGTACTCAAGTGGGTACTCACTGTTCACTGACAACGTTACAAGTAAAAGGAAAGCGAAACGTATTGATACGATACAAGACGTCGTTTGGGAACCGGCAAACGTTTTAATCGCCGCCAGTGTTACCACATTTGACAGTTTAAAAATGTCAAAAAAACATCACGTAATTAGTGGACTGCCCCTACTACATGTGACTTGTATTTTTCACGGTATTTTGAGTTATATAGTGAGTAACCGAAATCTATAGATTTCTTTACGTAACTATGTATACGTACTATAATCAAATAAAATTGAACTTTTGTATGGACCAGTAAACGTATGCTTATACTCGTGATACATTAACTTTTTAACCATTCTTGAAAAAAAATCTAGACTCAAAAGATTCGAGGGCCCCCTGAGCTTGAGGGCCCCGGAGCACTGCCCCGCCTAGCCCCTTGGTAGCTACGCCACTGGTCGTATGAGCATTTAGAAAATGAACTAAATATAGTTTTCCAATAAATAGAATAACTCTTCAAGTATAACGTCTGACTTGATTCACCCTCTGGAACACATGATTTCGAGAGGAACAAGTGTCTTGCCTATTAGTCCAGTCATTGAACGTAAAAATAGTGCCTTACCTCCGATTTCTATAAAACTGCATGGATTTGTCTGAAATTTTGGAATTAAGCTCGTCCTACACTTTAAACCTGAAATAACCCAAGGGGTAAAGTTTCGAATATCAAAACAAAATATCATCGTTAAGAATAAAACAAATGTGAAGCTATGTTCTATATTTATTAAGTGTATTTTTTCAAGTTTTGTAAAAATCCTTTAAATATAAACATATCTACTGACATCATAAAAGTATAGGAATAATAGTCAATAAATAACATACATACAAGGTGAGTTTTAAATGTATTTTAAACTCAGACCACCTCAGACATCCAATCTAATTTTAAAACTATACTTCTTCTTTTTATTCTCTCTTCGTCTTCTCTTCATCAGAAGAGTTGTGTATCAGCCTACACCTTAAAACTGACAAAGCACTAAACTGCAATATAGGTATATTAATCAAAGATTACACTGCGTTAGTTACATCTACACTCAACAAAGTACTTTGTGTATTATAGGGTTAAGGCAAAAAGTTGCTACTGGAGCGAAATGTTGCAACGCTACATAACTTAATTTTGAGTTGAAACGAAAGATGGCTCTAAGTATACAAGCTCCCAATCTTTTCAAATTCCAACCAATAGATGGCACTAAGAACTTCAATTATCGTACAAAAAATGGTTCATAAAAAAGGTAAATGCAACCGGTGTCGGGTGGCCATTTGAGCATTCTTATCTTTTTATTTTAACACTTGTTACACAAAACCTTTATTACAGCGGGACAGACGGAGTAATATTATGAAGGTGTAAACAATAGGTCAAACTTGTAGCTTCATTACTTATCCCCTCTCCCTCACTTGACCGAATAGCGCGCGACGAGAGGTTGTGCGAGTTATACTGTAGCCGCCGCGTCGTGTTTCTTGCGTCCTCGAGTTCTTCGCAATATAACTTTTCCTTTGAGACATGCAGAAATTCATTAATTCAATATTTAACGATTAATAAACCGTTTTGTGATAAATCAGAAAATTGAAGTTTTATAAAAATGTGTTACGAGTAACGTGTTATTTGTTTTGTTGGAGTGCCGATAATAGTCCAATTTACAACCGGATATTGCCAATATGGGTTCAAAAATCGAATACGTGGATTCATCACATTTATATGCCACTAACTACGTTCGCAATTCGAAAGCTATCGGCGTGCTCTGGGCAATATTCACAATTTGCTATGCGATTATAAGCGTTGTTGCCTTTGTGACACCTGAGTGGATCGGCGATTTGGAGACAGAATATCCAAGGAAGTTTGGATTATGGCAAATATGCAAGTCTGATGATGCTATAGAGGACTGTAAAGGAAGACTGGATGATTTCATGTCAATAAATGGATTAGTGTTTAAGATAGTGACTGTGTTAGTGGGCATAGCGGTCGCCCTAGCACTGTTTACTATCTGTGCAATGCTGTTATTCTTCTTTTGTCAGTCAACTACGGTGTTCCACATTTGTGGATGGTTGCAATTATTATCTGGTAAGTTTCATTTTACACCATTATTGAAGAAATAGTGTAAGTTTATGTATCCGTAATTATATAAGAATCAAAATAACATAGAACGAAGCGAAAGTTTTCAATTTAAAAGCTCCGATTGACCTTGGTGTCTAGCTAGTTAAACGAGTCTGAAACAAAAACCGACCTTATATCATAACGCCCATAAAGCGAACAGAGTTTTATCAAGAAAACAGGTGCAGGCTTCAAATATCCGGTATTATGCGGCAGATGTTTTCTAGATTTTGTAAAAATCCTTATGTATTACGGCACAAGAGCCGAAATCGTTTAACAATTTTTAAGTTACGATGTGCGCACAATCCTGTCTTGTCTGATACTAATAATTAGCCTTTCTTGAGTTCCAATCTACCTGTCAGTGTCTCAGGTAAACAATACATACCACTATCTATTTTTTCGCTTTTGAGCTTTTGAGCTCTACTTTCTGTGTTTTAGGATTGAAAATAAATTGGAGAAATTTGACAGTTTTGTATAGTTTGACGCTACATTACAATATACGGTACAACAAGCGACCATAACGAAATTCCAATCTGCAATATAGAATGGAAATCATTATAAAATCAACAACACAAACTTTTCCAAATTATTTTTACAGTAATTAAGCTGATAAGTAACAAGTTCTTTATTCAATACTGATGAGATGCAATTTCAGAAGAAAAAAATATTTGCAAGCAATTTGAAGTAATACCATTTTCAATTAATTAATGATCAGTAACGATTTCGTCAATCAATCAAAATGAGAACACGATAGAATCATTATTAGGTATTAAATGATGTTGTGTAATTCGATCCAACTCTCCTAGTAAACCATGCAGCTGCACGTAATATGAAGCCAATCATTGCTTTATAGGTACATTTATAAGAAGCTATTTCAATGCCATTAATTTATTTTCATTTTCTTTTATAGTATCTCACTTGCCATTAGATACTTTTTACAACTTTTTACAACTAATGTAAGTGCATTTAAATATCCAATACTAAATAAAAAAAATTAATTAGTCAACTATGATAATCTTTTGATTCCGTCTTTGTAGTTTTCTACCTATTACGCCACGACATATTATATAAGGTAAATCCAACGCAAATTTCCCATAAAAACCTTAAAATGTTAATACTATACGGTGGTATTATGTTGTTTTTTGTAAATAAAATAAGTGATAATTGCCAATAATAATTCGCATCCTAATAATGCAAATTCAATTAAGAATATTTTACTTAAGAAATTTATAACTAGGAACATTATAATTTAGATTTAACGTTGTAACACTTTAATCCTTTGTTTATAAAATTGACATTGACATTTGTCGGAATAAGAACGATGGTCGATTAGATGTGAAGAAGCTCAGTAACATGTAGGTAACATGACCTCATCACTTGGAAAGTTCACCATACCGCTACGTGACCGGAAAAAATCTAAAACATCATACAGTATGCGTATGTTTTACTCGTTTGATTAAGAACTATTTGAAGAACGCGAAAGAGAGAAAACAAATAAGTGTTGTATATAAGGTATTTACCCTATTGTTATATAAATATAAAAAATAACATTTTTCTTCTTCTTTTATTAATGACATATCGCTGCCTTTCGCACAATGCTGCCAATGTCAAGTGATTAAATTAGTTAAATTAATATAAATTAATTTGTACATGTAAAATGAAAATGAAATGATCTCCAAAATGTACGCAAACCATCATAAATAACATAATTGAGTTGAGTAGGGAGACAGCATAAAAATAATGCTTCAAGTATTACAATGTCAACATAATACTTTTTATTTATTGCATTGCAATATTTTAAAGTTAAGCGCAAGGTCAATATGCCTTTCTAAAAATATCTTAAAGCTTCAACCAGCAGCGTTTTTACTAATAATAAGTAATGTCAATAATAAAAAATTGTGTTTAGTAATTATAATATAACAGACGTATTCTTGTAATATTATCAATCTAATATTTCATATATATATTATTGACGAAGGAACATGTTAGAAAATAGCAAAAATGTATTTTTATACCTATATAACGATGATAATACGCAAAAAGATTTTTAATTATTAAAATATTAAAATGTGTCCGTATTCTACCGTTTCAATAGGGAAAAGGATATTAAAAAAATTAAACTAATTATGGAAAGTATTCTATTACTGATACTGAATCACCAAAATAATTTTCGCACTGGAAAAAAAATATTACTCTTTATTAGTTATGTATTCACTTGAGCTTATTTTTAATTGAAAAACTAATGTCCATATATTTCATCAAGATAAATAATTGTGATTATTACCTTATCGTGAAATGAAATGAACATATCTTTATTCGAGTAAGCTTATTACCAACACTTTTGAATATTCCAAAACATTTTTTCCCCTACCACTACCAGGACGTCTTTTAGCTGACAAGAAGAACAAGCGAAAGAAACTTACCAGCTCTTTATCATAAGTAATGACATTTACATAAATCATGTCATTACCATAATAATATGTATTATCACAATAATAAATACAAGTTTCAAAGTCTGTAGGTATAGGTTATACATTTTAGTCGTTATAGAACAAAGCGAAGGCTATTAATTTCATGCATTACGATCCTTAAAATAATCATCAACTTTATTCATAAGTATGTTCTATACATGAATTTTAAATTTATTTATGGGTAGGTTAATTACATTTTGTGAAAGACATTACAAAACATTTTGTGAAAAACGCACTATAAATAAAATTGGTCATGGTATTGAAATTATCTTTTTGATTTAGTATCAAAGAATAACGTTCAAATAAGCTGTAATAAAAAGATTACAAAGATAATTAAGTTGCAAATTTTTTGCCGGGGGTAATAGATAAATGTTTACTTATTTACCTATGCCACAAATACACATAAACTATGCAGGCTATACAGACACACAATAAGTAAGGTTTAGCGTTTGAGTAAATTTACGCGAAGACTGCACTTTGTATTGGTCAAAATTCATATTAAAAAACAGTCTTGGCAAAGGTTAACCTAGTACGAGGTTCTACGGGAGTAATATTTATTCCTAGAAGGTAGTAAGTTTGCTTATTTTCTGTATAGTATGAATTTGGACTAATACTAAAATTTAAATTTTAGCGTAAATTTTCTCTTGACGCTAAACATTGTTTATTAATGCTTAGCACTGCATATCTCAGCGGAAAGAGCGCCGTTCGCAATGAAATAGGTGTCGGTGGGGACGATATAAGTGTTATAAGAAAGAATCCTATCATTTTACAAGTATTCCCCAATAGATACTATTTTTTATTTTACATGCGGGGTATCCGTACGACCACATTTCGACCCTTGTCTGTTTATTACTATAATTTAAGTATATCTATACTATAGCACACTGCATACTGCAACTCAATGACGCTGTGGCCTGTACACTCGGTCTGCGATACATTTTTCACCCATATATTTTGACCTAGTCAATAATTTCAAATAAGTACAGTTTAGTTGGACGTTACTTCTTTATGCAGAACCAATAGAAAACAATGATTTTTAGTTTAGACAGCCTTTTAAGTTTAATTGACAACCTTCCACGATAAGCCTTTTGTTCGCTCCAAAGGCTGTCCTTTAATTAATTAATAGTTTGAAACGAACACTGTTCTGATAACAAATCGAATAAGAAAATTAATATTGTAATTAGAGCATTCTTCACACTGTAGGTATTTTATAGATAACTTTTACCTGTGGTTGTCACATAGGTACCTTGATGGAAGTAAAGTGGTAAATTAATTTACATTTTTATGGTATTTAAAGAAGGGCCCGTCATTCCGGAAATAAAGTTTCTCTTTATTTCACAACGTTAACGAACGATTTGCTATGATTACTATTACTAATCAATTATCACTCTATCTGTGACGCCTTCACTCCACCATTGATATAATTATTTTACTTTCATTAAAAGAAGCTAATGGTCATGAATATTTTTTTTTCTTTAAAGTTTAACAAATATATTAAGCTACTTATTTTCACAAATTAGTCAGGATATGAAATCGTTTTATTTAAAAAAAAAAATTAGTTAATATATCTCATTTAAATCAAACTTAATTTACTGTAAACTTTTCTTCACTTTTTAGTGGAGTAGATAACTTTCAATTCTAAATTCTTCGCTTTTATTTATTCTGCTAAGACGGCTATTTTTCATTATTCATAAAATAAAACTTTTCAATTTCTTAGAGAAAAACCATACACGTTGTGAAAAGTTTTGAAAGTGGTTAGAAAGTGACTTGTGCAGTTGTAGCGTTTTCATTATGCAAGTTCTTTGTAATACTTAACAAAATGAAATATTGACGAATTTTCTATAGAAGTATATATAAGTAACTGTGGAGTCATGTGCACATGTGATACACTGTGGTATAACTCTTATCAAAAACATTGTATCTACCTAAATCTATACCTTTGTTTCTCGTTTATGTTGTGATCTATACATAAATTATAAATGGGTAAAGTTACTAACTTTGTTTTATTGTTTACTATAACTAGCTGTTTTCCTGCGAGTTTGCGTGTGCTTGTGACAGTAAGGTATAATCTATACATATATAAAACGAGATGTCCTCACATACTGACTGACAGACAACGCACTGCCTAAACCGCTGGTCGTAGAGAGTTGCAATTTGAAGGGTACATTCGACTTATTACGTAGAGGTGTACTAAGAACGGATTACTGGAAATTCCACCACGAAGGAGGTCAAAAAGGATGAAAACGTTTGTATGAAACTTCATTATTTTTGGACCTATAGGTCAAAAACAAAGAAGATGAAAATTGACATTATTTTAAAGTTTAAGACCCTAGGAAAGTAATAGGTTATTTTTTATCCCGAAAAGTTGCTAATTTTCGGGATAAAACTTTCACTCCCGTTTTCATCCATTTAGTGGCTCTAAATTGATGAAAACGGGAGTGAAATTTTTATGGGGAAACAAACTTATATAGGTATTACTTATAAAGATTTTATTAAATT